TATGATTGATCAAGGTCCATTTCTAGCCTTCGCCCGTAATTAACATCCAACTTTTCACGGCAGCCAGAAAGAACATACAATGCAAAAGGTAGCCAGAGTAAAAGGGCCGAGAAAAAAAGGAAAGGAAAGGGGCAACAAACAAAATTGAGAACGGTTAATGGCAAAAAAAAAAAGGCCAAATTTTGGCTTATGCGCATGCCCGGAATTGAAATATTGCTCAATTTTGTACGTAATCCTCGAAAAATCTCCCTTTTTGGTTAAAAAGGCTTTCTCAGCAAAACTTAGGCTTATTGAGCGTCATGGCAGCCAAAAAACCTGACTAAACGGTTAAAAACGGTATTTTTTGAGGAAGGCGTAACTTCTTCCGTTTTAAGTCTCCTCTTGGATCACAGGCTTCCCTAGCTCAAAATTCGACTCTGCATGCGTGGTGTATGGGACAGCTTGTATATATAGAGAATTGTACGGGAAAGTCACCGATCGTAAAAAAAATTGTGTAAATTACTATCTAATTTGAAGGAATGTTTCCTTAACAGTCTGACAGGTCAATGACGAGAGAGAAAGCCACTGGTATTGCACTTGGTAATATTAACCCCATATCCAATGAAGTGATGGCGGACTTCAGCCCTCAAAACACCAAGGTACGCACAAAACACCTGGGCCGAGTAGTTCAAAAGCCGGTTAACGTTAACCCAGGATTAAAAGTTAACCGAAGAGTTGATTTTTCTTGTATCAAAATGATTTTCACTGCTTATGTTCTGTGTAGTTTGAGATTATTCAAACTCAAAACCGAAGAGCAAACAATATAAACAGAAAATGTCACCGAAAAGTTACAAAATTGAAATCAAAATTCTCGCTAACCTTGGGTCAGCTCAATCGTGCCTTGAACAACCCGGCCGTGGCATTCCATGCGGGCCTTTTATTGTGACCCACTTCATATTAACTTTTTGTTTTAGAATTCCGAAGGAAGCGGAGGGGTTTTGAAGCTCTCGTGACTTTTTAACGTATTATCTTCCGCTAGTCTTTCCTTTTTTTTTAAGTCGTTACGTTTGGATGTCTTTGTTATCGGTTAAGCGTATTTTTCAGACAAATGTCTTTTTTGTCGGGGGGAGGGAGGGGGTAGTCAGTATTGGGTGGTTCATCATCGCTGCAGTCTTTCGTCGCCCCACTAGACACCTACAGCCGAGTTTGCAACATGTTGAAAGTCACGTTCAGCCGTTTCTTTCCACCTGGTTATAATTTGTCGGTGTTTCAATGGTATATAATCGTTCCCCGAAGCAATTAAGATTATTTCTCGGGAGAGGTTCGCAATCCGTTTAGTTGTGCTTTCATTAGAGAATAACTATAATGTGCCAACTTTTGGACTGTGATGGTATTCCTGAGACAGAGAGCTGCTCATTGCTCGCTGCTCGCACACTGTGGAACAGTATAATTTAGAAAGCTCTAGGCTTCATGATAATTTTCTTTTGCAGTATCAAGCCTTAGCTCAGGCTGTTAATTTTAACTTCGAAAATCCTTATTTTTGCTGAATTCAAAATTCTTCTGACCACAACACGTTGTTTACCACCAAGGTCATCAATCTAGGATCTGACAATAAATCTGATGAGAACAGCCATTCAGATGCCTCCACCCCAGTCTCCACGTCTTCTTTTGGCCACTCGGTCATGAACAAGCGAGGGAAGACTGGGTATGATGTGCAGAAAAACCTCTCTGGACTAATGCTCAGTTCTCAGCCATCCGCTAACTCAAGGAAGCCATTTGTACCGCCGGGGCAGACGAGAAAGACTGACGAGGAAAGTCTTGATGATGATTCAATTTTCAACATGTATACTGCTTTGAAGGCCAGACCGAAGCCCCTGTCTTCCCATGTACCGCCGGCGCATTTACAACGCCGGGCAACTAGTGCGGGGTCAGGTCACGGGATGAAAAGGTCAAAGTTTAAGAACCCATTTAAAGTCTGTGGTCACGAGGTCAAGTCACAGGATAAAGTTGAAATCAGTAGGTCTGTATGGCAAGGTGTTCTAGATAACCTACAGTGGGAAATTTATAGAACCTGTGCGAGTGCTTTTAAATGAATGTTTCTTTTTCTGTCTTAATGAAGACCCATTTAAAAAATGCTTCAAACATTAAATTCTTTTGTATGCATTTAAATTAGCCTCACTAACCTCGTTTGAGAGTCAAAATTCTTTTGAATTATCGTCTTAAAAACGAGGTCAGTAAGGCAAAACAAAATTAACATTTAAGACGTTACATAAAGTAACATTCCCGTGGCATAATGTATTAGTTACAAATTTAGTACAAAGTTTTACTGGAACAGAATGGACGCTTCTTGGAACATATTTTTCACTTGCTTCTTCTTGATTCTGTTGATACTTTACAGGCGAGCCTGTAAATTTCATCGCAACACATTGCAAACTAGCTTAGAAATGCGAAGGGCAAAACATGTTATCGTATTCTGGCCACAGACCATCAGTTTTGTATTGTGTTTGTCAAGTTCACAAGCAAAACTCAAATTCGAATTATTATCCGCAGGGGATTTGAAAAAGCCTGGACGCAAGGGGTAGCCCCGCCCTCTTCGCGGCCACTCTAGTGCTCCGCGTTCGCTCTCCAGCGCTCGAGGATAAATAACTTGTAATAACAAAATAAACGTCTACGTCTCTGGCCAGACTGTGGCGAGGCTAGTTCTGAAAAGAACAGTTGTTGGTGATTGACATTTAGACATCCTAAACGGAGGTCATCTTCAGAGTCAAGGAGCGTAGTTCATGTCCGCTTGAGTTGTTGAAAAGTCAGTCACAACAAGTCCTTTTCAAAGACTTCCCTTGCCGCTCATAATATGGCTAAATTTTCAGTTATGCCTCGTTAATTACATTTTTGCGCTAATAAGGATAGCTCTGCTTACTGCGATTATCAAATTAAATGCACTGAAACAGCTGCCAATGCGTGAGCGAACATACATTTGGGAAGATATTTCTAATCAGATCACTCAATGTACATTAAATTTTTGACCAATTATTTCACGACCCACTGTTTTTCTTAAGGTATTTCAACATCACTGGAAGACGTGAATCGTCAGATTCTTCTTCAGATGCAAAGCAGGAAAGTCCAGCAGATGAAACACGTTTAGAAACTGAAGAAGACGAAGGAGATACAACCACGTCAAGTACATCACAACCTGGAGGTCTTCTTACCATCTTAAAAGACAACATGGAGGAACAGTTATGCGACAGTGAACTTGCCACGAATTGTAGCGATGACCAGGATATGGAGGAGAATGACAAAGAGAATGAACTAAGGACTTGTGGAGAGTCGAACGAAAGTCCGATAGCCAAAAAGAAAATGTTTGAGTATTCGAAACACAAGCGGGAGGAACAATCTATGAGTCAAGAAAGTAACACCTCGCAGACGCTGAAGTGTTCCCCTAGACAACTGCAAAAGCAAAGCGTGTTAACAAGTCATTCACCAAACATACGGGATGAACAGAATGCCAACGCTGAGAAATCCGATGAGTCAGACTTGGATAAACGTTTTGGCTACAGGGGATCTATGAAGACTAGAAAACGTGATAATCAAACATCGGAGTCTTTGAGACAGAACACCAAAGCTGAGGATGGTATACCCGTGCAGTCAATTGAGGTGATAGATGTCGATAGTGGGTACTTGTCAGATACTGAGATGAGTACAGACGGTGAGACACCCACCCCTACACAGTCAGGTGTCTTCCGCCTTACCCCACCGTCCTTCGGAGGAAATGTACCTCGTATGCAAGGCAGTGCGGCGGGAACCAAGGTATGTTGATGCCCTTTGTGAGAAAAAAAAAAACCTATTAGAAATTTTGCGTCTTCTGATCGTGGCCATGTTCGATTAAACAAATCGGATGTGGGTTAGCGCGGTCTTGTGACCACTGTGATGACGCGTATCGTGGTCGATAAGAGTACAGACCACGCTAAACCACGTGCACATTTCGATTTGTTTTTTACCACAATATCAACGTCAAAGAAAGTGTATTTTTTTTTTCAGAGCGTGAGCTGAAAAAGGCATTGCTTGACACATTGACGCGAACAGCGTTGTCTAGACTCTTATCGACAACGGCAAATTAGCCAATTGGATTGCGAGATTAGTAGCAATTATGGTAAAAATATCGATATTGTAACATGGCTCCGAGGCTTTCAGGACAAAATTGCAACTTTGGTAAGTTTCCGTTGTCCCTCAATTCCCAAGAGACTTGGATACAAAGAAAACACCACCAAAGATAGCAGTTTGTCCTGAAAGCCTTAGACAAGGCTGTGGTCTAAGAAAAATTAAGGGGAGCCTAAAGGTTCCTAACCATGAAATCCTGGGTGCCCAGCACTTAAGCTTATATGAAAAAAGTGAGTTTGTCCAGTTGCCCAAAGGCGAGAGTTAGTCGCCTGTGGTGCCTGAGTACCTCTAGAGCACAGCCCTGCCAAGAGGTGAGTAAAGTCTGTATACGAGCCAAGTGGCCCATCAGGCCGGAGCTTATCCCGGTTTCTGTAGCATGAAGCGACTAGGAGTATTTCTACTCTCCCATGGATGGGATGCGAGTCCATCGCAGGGTTACCCCCAGCAGTCTTAGAGACACATTGATATATCGAATGTGGTCTATTTATTGTTTGGTTATGAGGTGATATAACCATACAAGGTCAAGTCTACTTTGGAGAATTTAATCTGATATCATAGCGGTGTTAACGTAGCCAATTGAACTGCATCCTATGACAGCTCGTGTTATCGTTACATTTTCAAAATTCTACGACACACGTAGACTTGCCCATAAGAAAACCTTGTCACCACTTGCCCATATTTGCCAAGTCACCACTTGCCCATATTTCAGGCATTTTTAAAACCTTTATCTCTTTCCCTCTGCTGCAGACCATGAAGAAACTGGTTCGGCTGAATTCTAAAGGAGGTACCACCATTTTATTTTCAGCTATTTTTAGTATTATTAGTACTGCTTTGTTTGTTTGTTTTTTTAAATAATGTTTAGAATGAAAAGCATCCTTGCTATAAAATCTTTAAATTAATCAGTGCGCTTGTCCTTGTGCTGTTGCACGAGCAAGGTTTTGTTTCCACAGCGACGCAACTTTTTGGAAAGAGCAATGTATCACTAATGATGAAAATGCACGTGTCACTACTCTTGCTCTTATTAATACTCTTGTACCAAAGACCCCACAGCTGAAAAAATTCCTCAAAACACGTCGCGGTAAAATCGGAACCAATCGACCACATTCGTATTCTCGGTATAGGACTGGAACTAGCTTGCAACCGAGGCTAACGCGGGAGTCGTTTCAAATGCAAATGACATCGATCTCTTTTTAATGATATTCCCCACTTGAGCCTCAAATTGCAAGCTAGTTCCAGTGAGTCACCGAGAATACGAATATGGTCTTTTGCCTTGTTTGCGAGGAGTCTCTCCGTAGCTCAGAGCTTAGAGCGCTTGCCCGGTGTTGGGGACATCATTGGTTTGAATCCCGAAGGGAATTCAGTTTTTTTTTCCTTATCCCTCGCGATTAGCATTCCATCTTTCTCGAAGTATGCACTTGCTGCCCAACCGTACGATTTTCAGCTCGGCACTCCGACATGTCGATGGGACATTTT